TGCTGGAAGTCCAAGCCCCTCGCACACAAAACCTCCTTTACCCCCTCCCTCCAACCTTTCCTAGCCCGACCCCTACCCCGCCTTCCTTCCACTACAGACTGATACACTCTTGAAGTCATTCTGTTTTGCTCCATTCTCTCTACATGTCCGAACCACCTCAACAACCCTTCCTCAGCCCTCTGGACAACAGTTTTGGTAATCCCGCACCTCCTCCTAACTTCCAAACTAAGAATTCTCTGCATTATATTCACACCACACATTGCCCTCAGACATGACATCTCCACTGCCTCCAGCCTTCTCCTCGCTGCAACATTCATCACCCATGCTTCACACCCATATAAGAGCGTTGGTAAAACTATACTCTCATACATTCCCCTCTTTGCCTCCAAGGACAAAGTTCTTTGTCTCCACAGACTCCTAAGTGCACCACTCACCCTTTTCCCCTCATCAATTCTATGATTCACCTCATCTTTCATAGAACCATCCGCTGACACGTCCACTCCCAAATATCTGAATACATTCACCTCCTCCATACTCTCTCCCTCCAATCTGATATCCAATCTTTCATCACCTAATCTTTTTGTTATCCTCATAACCTTACTCTTTCCTGTATTCACCTTTAATTTTCTTCTTTTGCACACCCTACCAAATTCATCCACCAATCTCTGCAACTTCTCTTCAGAATCTCCCAAGAGCACAGTGTCATCAGCAAAGAGCAGCTGTGACAACTCCCACTTTGTGTGTGATTCTTTATCTTTTAACTCCACGCCTCTTGCCAAGACCCTCGCATTTACTTCTCTTACAACCCCATCTATAAATATATTAAACAACCACGGTGACATCACACATCCTTGTCTAAGGCCTACTTTTACTGGGAAATAATTTCCCTCTTTCCTACATACTCTAACTTGAGCCTCACTATCCTCGTAAAAACTCTTCACTGCTTTCAGTAACCTACCTCCTACACCATACACCTGCAACATCTGCCACATTGCCCCCCTATCCACCCTGTCATACGCCTTTTCCAAATCCATAAATGCCACAAAGATCTCTTTAGCCTTATCTAAATACTGTTCAGTTATATGTTTCACTGTAAACACCTGGTCCACACACCCCCTACCTTTCCTAAAGCCTCCTTGTTCATCTGCTATCCTATTCTCCGTCTTACTCTTAATTCTTTCAATGATAACTCTACCATACACTTTACCAGGTATACTCAACAGACTTATCAACCTATAATTTTTGCACTCTCTTTTATCCCCTTTGCCTTTATACAAAAGAACTATGCATGCTTTCTGCCAATCCCTAGGTACCTTACCCTCTTCCATACATTTATTAAATAATTGCACCAACCACTCCAAAACTATATCCCCACCTGCTTTTAACATTTCTATCTTTATCCCATCATGGGGAATATATAATAGCTAAATTCAAATCCAAATACCTACATAAGCCTCTCACAGTGATGAACATCTACAGAGTTCCACAGTCAAACATTAGCCAATTTAGTCAAAACCTAGGAAGTATGATAACTGATGCACGCATGAACAAAGATCACTTACTACTCTCAGGTGACTTCAATATAAATCTCCTGCAAGACCAGGACCCACATGTTACTGAATTCACAAACACTGAGTAACTGCATGTTGCTACCAACAGTAACAAAACCTACAAGAGTTACACAGACTAGTGTTTCCCTACTAGACCACATCTGGACCAACTCCATATCCCTTTAAAATCAGGCATAATCACAAATAATACCACAGACCACTACCCTACCTTCATCATAACAAATCTTGGCAAATTACCCCAAGACACTACTAAAGTCACTCTCAGACTTCACAATGAGGCAGCCATTAATAACTTCACAGCAGCAGTGACAAACATTGACTGGCACACTGAGCTAGAAACCTATACAGATATTGATGAATGTTTTAAAAATTTTCTAAAAAAGACCCAATACCTCTATAACAAGCACTGCCCTAAAAAACTAAACAGATGACAGCTAAGAGACTGAACAGTCCCTGGCTCACACCCAGCATCCTCAAATCCATAAATACAAAGCACCTATACGAAAAACAGTACAGAATGGGTCACATAACCAGAGACCAAACAAAACGTTACTCGTCAGTCCTAACCAGCCTGATAAGAAGGGCTAAAAAATTGTATTATGAGAACAGATTATCCAACTTAAGAGGTGATATAAAAAAGACCTGGAAAACCCTATCAGAAATTCTAGGAACAAAAAAGATATCACGAAATAGCGAAATTGAATTAACACAACCAGATGAACCCCAACTCCCACCAACTGAAACAGCAAACAAACTCAATGATTTCTTCTCCACTATAGGAAAAAACCTTGCCAATAAAATCCCAAGCTCAGATACCCCACCCAATGACTACCTCACTGGCAACTACCCGAACACACTGTTCCTAGCTCCGACTAACCCAACTGAAATCTCCCTTATTATCAACACACTGAAAAGCAAGACAGGAGATTTAAATACCTTTTTTTTTTTTTTTTTTTTTACAACAAGTCGGTCGTCTCCCAAGTGCTATCACCAATCATTGCAACACTCTTTAACAAATCCATCGAATCCTCTACCTTCCCTACAGTTCTCAAAATAGCAAGGGTCACCCCGATCCATAATGGAGACCAAACAGACTTGAATAACTATAGGCCAATATCCAACTTACATCCTCTTTCTAAAATCTTCGAAAAATTAATTCATAAGCGAATCTATTCCTACCTCATCTCCCACAACATACTCAACCCCTGTCAATTTGGGTTCAGGCCTAATAAAAATACTAATGATGCTATTATACACATGCTCGAACATATATACACTGCAATAGAGAAAAAAGAAGTCCCACTGGGGATCTTCATTGACTTACGTAAAGCTTTTGATACAGCTGACCATAACTTGCTCCACATAAAATTGTCGTACTATGGTATAAGAGGGCACCCCCTCAACTACCTAAAGTCATACCTCAGCAACAGAAGCCAATATGTGTATACAAATGGAGCAAACTCTTCCGCACATCCAATTACAGTTGGTGTCCCACAGGTATGTGTCCTTGGCCCTCTTCTCTTTCTCATATACATAAATGACCTACCAAATGCATCGCAACTACTCAAACCAACACTATTTGCAGATGACACTACATACGTCTTCTCTCACCTGAGCCCAGTCATGCTAGCCAATACGTACTGTGAATACCGAATTACAGAAAATATCTACCTGGATAAGGACTAACAAACTTACTCTAAACATTGACAAAACCTACTTCATTCAGTTTGGTAACAAAGCTACAGATGTCCTTCTTAACATAATGATAAACGGATCACCTATCACAAAACTCACGGAGGGAAAATTCTTAGAAATCCACCTTGATAATAGACTCAAATTTCAAAAACACATACAACAAATTTCCAAGACTGTAGGCATACTATTGAAGATACGGTACTATGTTCCACAGTCAGCCCTCCTGGCCCTATATCACTCACTTATTTACCCCTATCTCACCTATGGAATTTGTGCATGGGGCTCAACAACAATAAACCATCTCAGACCACTAATTACCCAACAAAAGGCTGCGGTCAGAATGATAACAAATTCCCACTACAGGCAGCACACTCCACCAATATTCAAAACTCTAAACCTACTCGCCATACAAAACATCCATACTTATTACTGCACCTACTACATACATAGAACACTTAACTCGGATATAAACCCTCCCCTCAAATGTCTCCTTACCAACCTCAACAGAACACATGACAATAACACAAGGCACAGATCACTCTTTGATGTTCCTCGTGTCCATCTCATGCTATGCAAAAACTCAATGCACATAAAAGGCCCTAAAATCTGGAATCCATTACCTGTGAATATAAAAGAAACACTGTCTGTATACAAATTCAAGTCTCTTCTCAAAAATCACCTACTCGCCCACAACTAAATAAATACTGAATAATTATATTTCATAAATTGTATCTCATAAATGTTTCTCATAATTGTATCTCATAAATGTTTAACCTGTGACCCAATCAAACTTTGTTATTTTTTTAATTACATTACCTAACAGAATACTCCATTCTACTGAATGCACAGCAACACAATAAATGACCATATGACCTGTCTTTGTAATACTCATTTGTGTTAAATTGTTATCTGTTTACAATAATGTTTTACCACTGAATCTATCATTGCTTAGTTAATCTTAAGTTAATTTTAAGCCTGCCCGTAATGCTATGCATACAAGGGGCTTTGGCATGTTATACTTTAACTAATGCATTCCTTTGCACTTCTCTTTATCATGTTCAAATTAATAAATAAATAAAGAAATAAAAAAAAGATGGGAATTATCACAGCTGCTCTTTAATGATAACAATTATTTGGGGAAATTCTAAAGAGAAGGCACAAAGGTAGGTGAACAAGTTTAGGAGGGTGAGCAAGGGGTAAATGTATTCTCATATTTGTATGTGGACATGTCAACTGATCTATCTGTGAAAGATGAAGTGAACCATAACAAAGATGAAAAGAAAACAGTAGGTGGAGTATTGAGTGTATATAAAAAGAAAAATTGATCTATGGAAGCAAAAAGAGGAATGTACCATACTTTTTTTTTTACACCAGCCATATCCCACCAAGCAAGGATGCCCCAAAAATGAGGAAATACATTCATCATTCATGTTACATTCCAGAGGGTCATTTCTATTGTGATGTCTGTGTACATCTAGCAAAATGGCTAATAAATGAATGATGTTGAGTATTTCATTATTCTTTGGTCACCCTACTTTGGTGGGAGACAGGGATTAAAAAACGACGACTCACAGTATAAGCATGTGTGAAACATTCATCGTTGTACTAGTTTTCCATACAAATAACTTGTGTTTCAACAAAAATATACAGATAGACACTGGTTATAAGTTGGGGGACCTGCTCCACATTGTGTTAAGCAATGTCTGCTACCTGCACTGAACATCAAGCACTCACCTGATACAATGCAAACTCCTTCAGCAATTAACCAGCAGGAAATGTATTTGTAGAGAGTAATCTTAGCCCAGAGTCCCACCATCACATGACGCTGCCACACTGGCATATCCTGAAAACATTAGTATGAATTGATCAAATTTGGCAATGTGAAGAACACAAGGAATGACTGGAAGAAAACAAGTAGTCACTTTGCTACAATGAAGCCAACTTATCAAATCTTGTACACAACTCAACCCACAAATTTGTTAGTTTCTAAATTTAAGTCCTTCCATGAATAGTTCATTATTTACCAGTTCTTTCTAAATGCACATTTTTTAGGCTTTGAATATGAACTCTTAAGATGAAAATTACCTACTACGTGATTTCATCTAAAATATTCTTTTTTCTTAATTCTTAATAAACCAGCTGTATCCCACCAAGGCAGGGTGACCTAAAAAGAAAAACAAAAGTTTTTCTTTTTAAATTTATACAGAAGGGGTTACTAGCCCCTTTGCTCTTGGCAATCTAATTTTTTTCTCATCAAACCAGCCATATCCCACCGAGGCAGGGTGACCCAAAAAGAAAAACGAAAGTTTCTCTTTTTAACTTTAGTAATATATACAAGAGAAGGGGTTACTAGCCCCCTTGCTCTTGGCAATCTAAAATATATCTAATATATTTACCACTCCCTATCCTCTCTCCTTTTTCAACTCTCAGAAATAACAATATTAACCACATTAGAGCAATGTTAAAAAAGTGAAATTTGAAACACATTAGCCAAAACTGAAAACCAGAATACTGAATAGATAAAATTAAATGGTAGAAGAATCCCTCGCTTTATGCAGTAATGCATTCCATTCTCATGGTAGCTGCTGAAATGCATACCATTCTCATGGTAGGTGCTTTAATGCATTTCATTCTCATGGTAGGTGCTGTAATGCATTCCATTCTCATGGTAGCTACTGTAATGCATTCCATTCTCATGGTAGCTGCTGTAATGCATTCCATTCTCATGGTAGCTGCTGTAATGCATTCTATTCTCATGAAATACATTACATTAACATGTGATATACTTGCGAGTGGTTTCAAGTGTTTGCCTGGTTAACCAGGCTAGTGCTGTTGACAGCCAACTAGTCCACAAAGACATCACGCTTGGTTGATCTAGCACATGATGGAGGTAGTGATCGAGTTTCCTCTTGAAAACTTCTACACTTGTTTTTGCAACATTTCTGATATCAAGTAGCAAATGAACAGCAGAGGCCCATTTATTTCTCCCAACAGAAATTTCCTACCTCTTCAGCTTTGTTTCACTTAGAGCTATGACATTCAGTTTCTTTTTATTAATAGTATTCACAATCAACTCTCTCTTATCATCTGTATGACATCCACGCACATTCAAACACCTTAACTTTAAAATGGTCTTTTGATTTTTTTGTAATTTCTATAGGAGACAGGGTTACTAGCCTCTGAGCTCCTTACAGGTATTTTAGTTGCATTTTTACAACAAACATGGCCTATGGAGGAAGGATTCTTTTTCCACTTTACCATGGAGATGAAAGGAAATACAGGTACCATCCGACTTACGATCGAGTTCGGTTCTGACAAACCGGTCATAAATCGAAATGGACGTAAGTCGAACCTTACTACTGAATATCAACATCACTTTTTGTAATGACTTTATTTTATTGTTTTATTTTGGTATTTCATTTTTTACTTTACTTTTTATGCTGTTAGTACTGCATTTTATACTGTAAGGTTTAGGATAAACACTGTGTACAACACAAACAGGTGTTTATTCCCCAAAAAATTTGGCATAGAAAACACGGTCGTAAGTCGAATGGTCGTATGTTGAGCAGGTCGTAAGTCAGATGGTAGGTGTAGGTATGTGTAATAATGTGTGCAAGGGGCCTGAATATGCAGCAGGCATGTGTGAGCGTGTTTGATAGGACTGAATGGAGACAAATGGTTTTCGGGACTTGACGAGCTGTTGGAGTGTGAGCAGGGTAATATTTTGTGAAGGGATTCAGGGAAACCAGTTAGGCAGACTGGAGTCCTGGAGGTGGGAAGTACAATGCCTGCACTTCAAAGGAGAGGTTTGGGATATTGGCAGTTTGGAGTGACATCCAAACTGTGATATCTGGGCACCTCTACAAAGATAGTGATTATGTGTGAATGATGGTAAAAGTGTTGAATGATGGTGAAAGTGCTGAATGATGGTGAAAGTGTTCCTTTCTTCTTTGGGCCACCTTGCTTTGGTGAGAGATGGCCAACATGCTAAAAAAAAAACTGATGAGTTCTATAAACAAACAAGTACATGTATGTGTACTATGAACTAAGAAGAAGTAGCAAGATATACCTGTCATCAAGATTATAAAATGATACAAATGAATAGATAAGGAAAATTTTCTAAAACCATCAATAACAAATGCCACAGCTATAAACTCAGGAAGAGCTGCCAAAAGAATACTAGAAACTACTACTTCGCAGTGCTAGAACAATGTAATAGTTACAACCATTAGAAATTATATATTTCACAAGAGAGTAATTAATGAAGATAAGACACCACGAGTTTAACTCTGCTCCTGTAACAACAGTTACCACCAAGAGATATACGTATATACTTTTTTAAACAGTGTTTCTTTCAGTGACTTATTTTAGTATTTTCATGTTAATGAATTTATGCTCAAGTGCACAGCCAAACTCTTGTAAAAATGCTTCTTCTTCGGAGGCTGAGTATATTGTCACAGTGTTCATGACCAAGCCTATGTTAAATTAAACATAACTATTGAACTTTATCTTCACTATAAGTTCTAAACATACAGAACTGTTTGAACTGAACCTTACTGAAATTTGGTTCAGTAATTTATATGTATGATGTAAGCTGCTGAATCATCTAATCATCTAGAAAGTTGAAAGTGAACATAGAAAAGAGTAAGGTGATGAGGGTATCAAATGATTTAGCTAAAGAAAAATTGGATATCAAATTGGGGAGGAGGAGTATGGAAGAAGTGAATGTTTTCAGATATTTGGGAGTTGACGTGTCAGCGGATGGATTTATGAAGGAAGAGGTTAATCATAGAATTGATGAAGGAAAAAAGGTGAGTGGTGCGTTGAGGTATATGCAAAGGCAAAAAATGTTATTTATGGAGGCAAAGAAGGGAATGTATGAAAGTATAGTAGCACCAACACTCTTATATGGGTGTGAAGCTTGGGTTGTAAATGCAGCAGCGAGGAGACGGTTGGAGGCAGTGGAGATGTCCTGTCTAAGGGCAATGTGCGGTGTAAATATTATGCAGAAAATTCGGAGTGTGGAAATTAGGAGAAGGTGTGGAGTTAATATGAGCATTAGTCAGAGGGCAGAAGAGGGGTTGTTGAGGTGGTTTGGTCATTTAGAGAGAATGGATCAAAGTAGAATGACATGGAAAGCATATAAATCTATAGGGGAAGGAAGGAGGGGTAGGGGTTGTCCTCGAAAGGGATGGAAAGAGGGGGTAAAGGAGGTTTTGTGGGCGAGGGGCTTGGACTTCCAGCAAGCGTGCATGAGCGTGTTAGATAGGAGTAAATGGAGACGAATGATACTTGGGACCTGACGATCTGTTGGAGTGTGAGCAGGGTAATATTTAGTGAAGGGATTCAGGGAAACCGGTTATTTTCATATAGTCGGACTTGAGTCCTGGAAATGGGAAGTACAATGCCTGCACTTTAAAGGAGGGGTTTGGGATATTGGCAGTTTGGAGGGATATGTTGTGTATCTTTATACGTATATGCTTCTAAACTGTTGTATTCTGAGCACCTCTGCAAAAGCAGTGATAATGTGTAAGTGTGGTGAAAGTGTTGAATGATAAAAGCAGTGATATTGTGTGAGTGTGGTGAAAGTGTTGAATGATGATGAAAGTATTTTCTTTTTGGGGATTTTCTTTCTTTTTGGGTCACCCTGCCTCGGTGGGAGATGGCCGACTTGTTGAAAAAAAAAAATACCTAAATACTACTAGGCAGTCGGATGGTAGACAGCATCCGCCCAGGGAGGTTCTACCGTCAGGCCAAGTGAGTGTAAAATGGAAGCCTAAGTGTTTGTGACTATTTGAGCACTATTTCAGTACCTAATATTAGTGTCAGAACAAAGATTAACTATGAAATCACAAGTACTACTACAAATTTGTATTATCAGAACATAAAAATTATACAAATTAAAAAAAATGAAATAAAAAGGTATATCAGCAACACATATGCTAGTGGCAGTGCTTCATGTTGCCGTCAGATGAGTGACAAGTGCCGACTTTACGGCCTTATATCTCTGCAAGTACTAACTCTAGATTTTTTTTTTTACATTACTTTATGTAAAAAAAATGTCCTCTTCATTTAAAAAAAAAAATTATTTTTCAAAATATTCGGAGCACTGGGCGAGAGAACATAGATCTGCATTTGAACAGTTAAGGGGTTAATAAGAAAAACTTTCATTTTTCTTTTTAGTTCACCCTGCCTTGGTGAAATGTGGAAAGTTTGTTGAAAAAAAAAAATACTAATTTTAACCCTTAAACAGTCCAAACACATATATACATTCACCTGAGCAGTAGTACTACACTCAGTGTAGGACTACTCTGTAGTACTACACTCAGTGTAGGACTACTCTGTAGTACTACACTCAGTGTAGGACTACTCTGTAGTACTACACTCAGTGTAGGACTACTCTGTAGTACTACACTCAGTGTAGGACTACTCTGTAGTACTACACTCAGTGTAGGACTACTCTGTAGTACTACACTCAGTGTAGGACTACTCTGTCCAAACACATATATACATTCACCTGAGCAGTGCCCTGAATATTTTGAAAAAAAAAAAATCTTTTTTTTATAGAAAAAAAAAGAGCACATTTTTTAACTGTTTTAAAATTAAAAAAAGAATTAGGGTCACTACTTACAGAGATATGAGGCCAAGAAGTTGGCACTGGATGCTCACATGACACCAACATGGAGTCCTGCCACTTACACAAGTGTTGCCGATATACCTTTTTTCTGTTTTTCATATTATTTTACATAATTTTTATGTTCTGATAATTACAATTTATAGTAGTTCTTGTCATTTCATAACCATTCTTTGTTCTGACACTAGTATTACATACTGAAATTGTACTCAAATTGTGGCAAACACACTGACAGGTGGACATTTACACCTGCCTTGGCCATTTACTATTGTCTTGGAATATATACAAAGCATTTATATGTCCCAGCAATGTTTTAGATATGTGGAAGTATATAACAATGAGGAGGAGGAGGAGGAAGAGGGGGAGGAGGAGGAGGAGGAGGAGGGAGGAGGAGGGAGGAGGAGAAGGGAGGAGGAGGAGGAGGGAGGAGGAGGGAGGAGGAGGGAGGAGGAGGAGGGAGGAGGAGGAGGGAGGAGGAGGAGGGAGGAGGAGGAGGGAGGAGGAGGGAGGAGGAGGAGGGGGGAGGAGGAGGAGGGAGGAGGAGGAGGAGGGAGGAGGAGGAGGAGGAGGAGGAGGAGGAGGAGGAGGAGGAGGGAGGAGGAGGGAGGAGGAGGAGGAGGAGGGAGGAGGATGGAGGGAAGGGGAGGAGGAGGAGGAGGGAGGAGGAGGAGGAGGGAGGGGAGGAGGGAGGAGGAGGAGGGAGGAGGGAGGAGGAGGAGGAGGAGGAGGAGGAGGGAGGAGGGAGGAGGGAGGAGGAGGAGGAGGAGGAAGAGGAGGAGGAGGGAGGAGGAGGAGGAGGAGGAGGAGGAGGAGGAGGGGGAGGAGGAGGAGGGAGGAGGAGGGAGGAGGAGGAGGGAGGAGGAGGGAGGAGGAGAAGGGAGGAGGAGGAGGGAGGAGGAGGGAGGAGGGAGGAGGAGGGAGGAGGGAGGAGGAGGAGGGAGGAAGAGGAGGAGGGAGGAAGAGGAGGAGGGAGGAAGAGGAGGAGGGAGGAAGAGGAGGGAGGAAGATGAGGAGGGAGGAAGAGGAGGAGTGAGGAAGAGGAGGAGGGAGGAAGAGGAAGGAGGAAGTGAGGAGGGAGGAAAATGAGGAGGGAGGAAGAGGAAGAGGAGGGAGAGGAGGAGGAGGAGGATGGAGGAGGAGGAGGAGGAGGAGAGGAGGAGAGGAGGAGGAGGAGATGGAGGAGGAGGAGATGGAGGAGGAGATGGGAGGAGGAGATGGAGGAGGAGTGGAGGAGGAGGAGGGAGGAGGAAGAGGGAGGAGGAGGGGGGAGGAGGAAGAGGGAGGAGGAGGAGGAGGAGGGAGGAGGAGGGAGGAGGAGGGGGAGGAGGGGGAGGAGGAAGAGGAGGGAGGAGGAGGGAGGAGGAGGGAGGAGAGAGGAGGGAGGAGAGGAGGGAGGAGAGAGGAGGGAGGAGGAGGAGGAGGGAGGAGGAGGAGGAGGGAGGAGGAGGAGGAGGAGGAGAGGAGGGAGGAGCAGAGGAGGGAGGAGGCAGAGGAGGAGGAGGAGGGGGGAGGAGGGAGGAGGAGGAGGAGGAGGGGGAGGAGGGAGGAGGGGGAGGAGGGGGGAGGAGGGGAGGAGGAAGGAGGAGGGAGGGAGGGAGGGAGGAGGGGGAGGAGGGAGGAGAGGGGGGAGGAGGGGAGGAGGAAGGGGGAGGGGAGGAGGGAGGGAGGGAGGGAGGGAGGGAGGAGGGGGAGGGAGGAGGGAGGAGGAGGGAGGAGGAGGGAGGAGGAGGGAGGAGGAGGAGGGAGGAGGGGGAGGGAGGTGGGAGGAGGAGGGAGTGGTGGGGGAGGGAGGAGGGGGGAGGGGGAGGGGGGAGGGGGAGGAGGAAGGAGGAGGAGGAGGAGAATACGTAATCATAATACGTAATAGGAAATAATAAGTTGCCTTGAAGCATGAAAAACAAAGTCCACCCCTGACAGTGACATGATAAGATAACATCTGATAAGATCTGACGTTTGATGAGCATACAAGAGGGTGCAGGGAGGGTGCAGCGATAACACTTGATAAGAAAAGATTAGAGGTGACATTTGATGAGCATCGGCCCTGCTTTGTTTTCACTGGTACACAAACATGTCTGGTTTAGATAGACATGTAAGCAAACACTTTGACATTTATTAGAAAACGTTTCGGTCCTGGGACCTTGATCACTTGCTTACGTGTCTTTCTAAACCAGCTTGTCAGTATTTATTACCAAGGTTTATACCATAAACATGTCTGTCCGACTATTTGTCTGTCTGTCAAGCTCCCTGTCTATCCATCTAGCTCTCTGTCTCAGAGAGAGCCACAAGACTGTGTCATCACCTTTACTCACATCTTCAAGCAGAGTATAGCACTTTGTCTGGACTTTTTGGGTTATCCTAGGTAATTTACACTATGTATACTTGTATTTGTGTGTACCTGTGAGACAGACACACATGCTGAAAGAGATAGACAGATTGAAAGATATAGACAGAGACAGACAAAAACAAAGACAGATAGACAGAGACAGACACAGATAGACAAAGATAGAGGCAGACAGATAGACAGAGGTAGACAGAGATAGATACAGAGACAGATCGACAGACCCTTAATTTGGGGTTAACATCACTTCCCTCTTAAAACAGGAGTGTTAACATGGTGTTTGCAGCACTGTTTGCTCTAGGTGGCGCTCAATTTAACTGGTGCTCCCACAAGGTACTAAGTGGTCCCAGATTTTTTTAATATGGTGCACACCGAGTGTTAAGACCCAGTCTATACGTTTGGGATGCTACGCATAAGGATGTATGTATACGTTTGGACCACTTAGGGGTTAAAAGTGAGTAATAAAAATCAGAAATACAATGACAAAAATCAGTCAAAATAGCCTTCAAAAATGAAGAAGAAATATTGTTTGAAATAAATCTTACATAATATTCTTGTGAAGAGAGGAATGTATCAGGTAGCCAGCTGATTCCCACTTGATAGACAACAAGATAAACTAGACCTGATCCACCACGAAGAAGGCCGGGCACCAAACATGGTGGAAGTTCACATCCAACTAACGTCCCCTGTGAAAATATCGTTTACTTAGTAGACAGAAAAATAAAGGGAGATACATACAATCCTCTTAATACACCTACCATCCGAGTTACGACCGAGTTCAGTTCCGAGAAACCAGTCGTAAGTCGAAATGGTCGTAAGTCGAACTTTACTACTGAATATCAACAAAACATTTTTGTAATGACTTTATTTTATTGTTTTATTTTGGTATTTCATGTTTTACTTTACTTTTTATGCTGTTAGTACTGTATTTTATACTGTAAGGTTTAGGATAAACACTGTGTACAACACAAATAGTTGTTTATTTCCCAGAAATTTGGCATAAAAAACACGGTCGTAAGTCGAGTGGTCGTAAGTTGAGCAGGTCATAAGTCGGATGGTAGGTGTATTTTAAAACTGTGTTGAGTACCAGGAAAAAAAATTATTTTTTTCCATTGTGATTTACCTAATACATTAGTACATCAATAAGATGTATAAATATGATGACAATAATAAAATACTGTATTCTTTAAACTATAAATTGACACCCTTAATATTTAAACACTTTAATTTTATAAATTAATACTGCATGATGCATCACCCTTAATATCATGTATTCATTAAAGACTTTGTGCAAAAGAAAGACAAGGCGTAATATTACTCGTGATTGTTTGTGCCCATTTGCAGTACAGTGGACCCCCGCATAGCGACTTTAATCCGTGCAAGAGGGCTCATTGTTATGCGAAATGATCAGTATGCGAATGAATTTTCCCCATAAGAAATAATGGAAATCAAATTAATCCGTGCAAGCCACCCAAAAGTATGAAAAAAAAAAATTTACCACATGAAACATACATTTTCCTACACACAAAGAGAAGGATACATGCACAATAGTAGAGTAGTACATGCACAATATATATTGTGCATGTACTACTCTACTAAATGAAGAATAAATGACACTTACCTTTATTGAAGATGCAGCAATGACTGATGAGACACTGTGTCCTGGGAGTGCCTTTTCCTCCTGAGTACTGTAGGTCCTGTTTGGCATTTTCTTCCAGAACAGGCCTTATCACACTGTGTATGCCACTACGATTCTTAAATCTCTCAAACCAACCTTTGCTGGCTTTAAATTCACCAATATGAGCACTAGTTCCAGGCATTTTTCCCTGTTCACCTGGGTGTTAGTCAACTGGTGTGGGTTGCATCCTGGGAGACAAGATTAAGGACCCCAATGGAAATAAGTTAGACAGTCTTCAATGACACTGACTTTTTTGGGTTATCCTGGGTGGCAAATCCTCTGGGGTTAATTGTTTCTTGGTATTCTCAATAAGCCACACCAACAACGGTGCTACAGCAGCAGCAGCAGCAGCAGCAGCTGACAGTGCTACAGCAGCAGCAGACGGTACTACAGCAGCAGCAGACGGTACTACAGCAGCAGCAGACGGTACTACAGCAGCAGCAGCAGCAGCTGACGGTGGTACAACAGCAGCAGCAGCTGACAGTGCTACAGCAGCAGCAGACGATGCTACAGCAGCAGCAGACGATGCTACAGCAGCAGCAGACGGTACTACAGCAGCAGCAGCAGCAGCAGCTGACGGTGGTACAACAGCAGCAGCAGCTGACAGTGCTACAGCAGCAGCAGACAATGCTACAGCAGCAGCAGATGGTACTACAGCAGCAGCAGCAGCTGACGGTGGTACAGCAGCAGCAGCAGCTGACGGTGCTACAGCAGCAGCAGCAGCTGACAGTGCAGCAGCAGCAGCAGCAGCTGTACCACCAATAGTAGCGATGGTTGATTGGGGTTTATTATACAACCTGGCCAGCTCGGAAACATGCACTCCACTTTCATACTTATCAATGATCTTTTTCTTCATCTGTATAGTAATTCTCACCCTTATTGCTGTAGGGTTGGCACTAGAAGCTTTCTTGGGGCCCATGGTCACTTATTTTCCAGATAAAATCACCAAAAACACTGTAATAATACGAAATGTTCCGATTGTATGCTTGGATGTTACCGCGGAGGCTGGCTGGTAAACAATGCCACCGGCGGCACATGTGAGGCTGGCTAAGGGCGCACATTGGACGCGTCTCGGACGAAGAGG